AAGACGACATTATGGCAATACTTAAGTGTGAATTTATGTTGTTACGCAGCAAATTGTTTTGCTAGACACTTATTGTACTACTAATTTAGTGAAATGGGTCTGTTTACACTGCACAATTGCTTTGTTTCATGCTCATAGAACTTTTTTAGGTTATAACTTGATTCTAAAAGTCGTCTTCCTATTTCAGAGTTTTCTAGTTAACGCTGTATATAAATTTCACTCTAAACTTAAATTGTTGTCAGACACTTTCTTCGTGTATTTCAGAAACGCAACTAAGATTATTTGTTTATGCATTATACTCTCCGAAGACCGTACTGCCACAGAATTTCTTCTGGAGGGTTTGGTTATATTTTTAACATTCTATTTTATTCGAGGGAAATTCATTCCAAAACAAACATTTGGCCCATTTCTAACACTGAGTGTTAGAAATGGGCCAAGATGGGGCCAAGTCTGCAAAGTTATCTTTTCAAAGAGTACATCTTTTTTTTAAATCCAAGCCCAGTAGAATAAAACATCATACATTTATAAAAAAGGACAATAAAGAAACAAAAAATGTCAATTTTAAACTAATAATAATTGTGTGAAAATTAGTTTTTGATGATTCTTGATTTCATTTTCGAACATATCCCTATTTTGAAACATTTCTGCTCATGTCGCGTTTTGAGATAATTATTCGAATTCATATCAATGTCAATTTTCAAGCATTTAAGCACTAACGTAACAAAACAAGATTTTTTGATAATGTAAGACAGAAATAGAATAAAATACTGTTCATTTATAATTTTAAAATCATTTCGGCATTGAGAATCAAAATATCAATATTATAATATTATAATACATATATGTATTTTGTCTTATAAAAACTTGAGCAATGCGGGAAATTGTTTATTTAAATCAACTCTAATCTTTTACTCAACCAATACAATGGCCGGACACTAAGATTATAGAAATAGTTTAGCTGTCAATTTGGCCTTCATAAGATAATTTTTTCTTTCAGTAATTTTTTTTTGTAAGTTTCGTTCTGAATTGTGGATTATACTCAGAAACGGGAAAATGAGTGTTTGACAATGATTTAAATTCATGTTCAAAAATGGAAAGCCTGACATTGTCTTGAAAACGGTCAAGGGTTTTAATTTAATATCAAATGAACTCCATTTAAGATTTTAGAAAAAAATTTTAAATTTGGAATTGTTGTCCTCGTTGCATGCTTGATAAAATGTTGGTTATAGTTTTTATTATTTACTTTTACTTTCGATTTGGGCCGGGATCCTTAAAGCCTTTCAATTAGTGCCCATTTCTAACACTCTGTGTCAGAAATGTGCCAAGTGTTAGTATTGGAACTAATGTCCCCTGTAATTATTTCCTGCATCTTATATAATACACATAAATAGTTTTGAAATGTTTGTTTTCTTAGCTTTTTTCCACATTTGAAAATTAAATCAACCAGGACAGTTTTAATTTTTTTTTTTTAACATATCTTACTAATAACAGCATTTTATTCGATAATGAAAAAAGTATTATGTTATGAGAAAAAAATGTCAATGAGTCGTATACTTACAAACCTCGACTATATGTTAATTTAATTAATATATCATCTATCATATATATGATGTGCTTGTCTGTCTGTATCCAATAAACGTCAAAATGGCTGAACCGAGGGGCCCTAATTTTGTGTGGGACTTCACGTGGCCCCAGGGAAGGTTTGTGAATGATCAAGATTTCGAAATTAGCCTCCATCAAAATTAGATTTTAATTAAATTTTTGAAAATTTGAAAATCCAATAAATGTTTTTATGAAATCCGCAATCTTTTTTTTTGGTTTTGTTTTACAATGTACACAAAGAGAACAATTGAAATAGAAGATGGACTCGAAGCGCCCGAAAAGCCTAGTACATTTATACTTAGCTTGTCTGTAACCTTTAAACGTCAAAACGGCTGAACCAATCGGGTCCAATTTTTTTGTGGGACCTTGCGTGACCCCAGGTAAAGTTTATGGATAATCAAATTTTCAAAAATTTTCCCCCAACAAAATTAAATTTTTTGAAAATTTTGAAAATTCACGAATTATTTTTATATGATCTGCGTAATTTTTTTAGTTTTTTTTTTTCTTACAATGTATTCAAGAGAACATGTTCAAGTAGAAGATGGGAAAGAAAAAAAGCCTAGTTTACTTATAAACCATAAATATATGTTAATTTGATAAATGTGTCATCTATTGTCTGTCCGTTTGTTCTAATAAACGTCAAAACGGCTGAACCGATCGGGCTCAAATTGTGTGTGGGACCTCACATGACCCAGGGAAGGTTTATGGATGATCAAAATTTTAAAAACTAGCCTCCAACAAAATTCCATTTTCATTAATTTTTTGAAAATCCACAATTTTTGTTGTATATCCGAAACCTTTTTTCATTGTTTTACAATATATACAAAGTGAAAATATTCACAATTGAAATAAAATTGGCAGGAAGCGCCCAGATAGAAAACCAACTACTTTAAAACTAAATCAGTATTTATTGATAAATATAAAGTAGTAATTCCTGTCCGATTGGAACGAATAAACTCCCGGACCGATTTGCCTTAAATTATGACTGGGGAACTCGGGAGAACCACGAGAATATTCTTAGATGCTTTAGAGATTATAAATTTAATGAGCACTGGGTCGATTTTTAGACTAAAAAATAGCTAAAATCGTCATTTAAGACCAAGCGCGGGAAAACGGAGAGAGTTAAAAAAAACATTATTTTCATTATCAATATTTTACTATTTGAAATTACTGAGTTATCACTCCGTTTTCTGAAACTTCTCCCGAAAGCCTCCCCACTCGGCCCCCGGCCCTGGTACGTTGTATATATACGGGCAGCCGTAGTACATTTGAATTTCCGAGCCGGGTCAACCCTTCCGGTCCCAGTTTGTACTGTATCTCTCGGACTTTGGTCTGTGGGTAAATAAAGCAGACACTCAATATGACTAGCCGGTGCAACAAGGTTGACGCGGTCAGACTTTAGGTTGAATTTACTTTTACTGAAGGGTCAGAGGTACGTGTATATACAATACATATGTATACACGTTGATCCGAAGGTTGCAAGCTCTCACACTGTGATTAAATGGTCTCACGTTCTCAGACAAAAATCGTTGAGAATTTTGCCAATTACTTCCAAGGTAGACTAGATAATAGTGTATAATTATATTCTTGTAGTTCTAATGAGTAGGGTGTGTTTACCAATATCTGAGAAACTAGATCCAGAACTTGAATATCTAGTATACAGGGTGTATGTCGAACTTGAATATCTAGTATACAGGGTGCATGTCGAACTTGAATATCTAGTATACAGGGTGCATGTCGAACTTGAATATCTAGTATACAGGGTGCATGTCAAACTTGAATATCTAGTATACAGGGTGCATGTCGAACTTGAATACCTAGTATACAGGGTGCATGTCGAACTTGAATATCTAGTATACAGGGTGCATGTCGAACTTGAATATCTAGTATACAGGGTGCATGTCGAACTTAAATATCTAGTATACAGGGTGCATGTCGTAAAAGGACATACCCTCCATCTATAGCGTGGCATGTCTGATTCATAACGGTACACTCAAAAAATATGTCTAATCAAGAATTGAGATTTACATCTATGTTCATAGTTTTAAAAATATATGATTTTCAATTAGAGTTTTTCCACAAAGACGACTTGGACATTTCTCAGACAATGTAGGAACTATTAGAATTATTCACTTCTCAACCTGGAAAAATGTGAATCGTTCATACTCCTCTTTCTTGAACTAGAGGTTCACTTGAAGTAACAAGAACAGTCCTTTTGAGGATGACTAAATAAAAAAGGGAGAGTTCAACTTTTATACAAAAAGTGATCTAATTTTTTTGTCAGCGAGACGACTCTTAGACTATAGTTAGGGCTTTAAATAGTTAATTCAATGTGAGCAATCGTGCAGTGTAAACAGACCAATTATACTTAAATTATTCAAAAAGTTACTGAAAAACTATTTGCATTGTAACAACATCAAATATATTTAATCATAACTAAAATGTTCTTTATTTATTTTACAGTTTTCTGGTTCTAACAGTATTTTTATGACAGAAGAATAAGATTGAATGCATTATTTTCATTGATAACTGGAAACAATTTTAATCTCTCCATGAATTTAGTGAACAAATGGGAAAAGACATTGGAACAGACATTTAATTTATTAAAGAGAAAGTCGTAGAACAATCAGAGGGCGGAAACATCATGTGTGTGTGTCTGTACCAAAAGAGTGTGTGTAAGGTTTACCGAACCGAAGGTGTGTACTGAAAGTATATACAGTGCATAAGAATCTCAGTATTTCTACAGTCTAGGAGAGTACATTTGTTTATTGTTAATTGTTAACTTAAAAATAGTTTAATATACATGTGATTTATTATTTATACATTTGTCAACACTATATGCCAAATTTTCAAGCAAAGAATATAATTTGATTAAAGTTTACAATAAACTACTCGTTATTCAAGCTTAATTTTAATTGACAACATTGCTCTGCAATTCCCTTGACTGTAGTCATGTTGTGTGTCTGTACCAAAAGAGTGTGTGTAAGGTTTACCGAACTTGTCTACAAAGCAGTTTGACTGGCTTTCTCATGCCAGACCAGCGCCATTTCCCTCTCTTTAATTCTTATTCCCTTTTAACAATCTATAAATCTAAATTGGGACATTGCGGACCATTTATATTTAAGTTTAAAGTCATAAACCTTCCCCAGGGAACATTGCCACATAACATTTGGACCCAATCGGTGCAGCCGTTTGGACCTTTAAAAAACAAACGGACAGACAGACGAGCAAAGTATATATATAGATCATATAGATCAACAGCCGTTGGAAAAAGATTTCCCTAATTTTTAAAAAAACAATTTCAAAAATCAAATATTAAATATAGCAAAATATTTATATTTTTGTCTACATGTAACAGATATTTAAACATAAACTAAATATTAAATATAGCAAAATATTTATATTTTTGACTACATGTAACAGATATTTTAACAAAAACGTCTATTTTTACAAATTCCTAAAAAAAGGTAAAATTTGTCTTCACTGATAAAGTCTTTTCATACAGTTCCTCTAGTTCCGGTTTTCATCCACTTCCTCTAGTTCCGGTTTGAAGAAAATAAAATATAATCTTGAAATGTTGCAACCAACTCCTTCAATAAAAAAGAAGGTAAATAAACTGTTGATTAATAGATTTGGTTCGTTTTTTAAAAACTTAATTTCATCATTATTTTGAGCCAAAATGCCTTTTTATTTTAGTAGAATAAAAACAAAGATCTAGTTTGTATTCTGATTTATCAATCTTAATTGAATCTGAATAGGGTGGCAAGGAGTATCCTGAATGCTTAATACCTAGGTTTGACAGGTTGCTCCTGGAGTTCTACTCTTGAAGAGTGGGAATATTACCTAGGTTTGGGAGATTGCTCCTGGAGTTCTACTCTGGATAGAAGACTAGGAGTTAATCCACTCTCAAGCTTTCTCCACTAGAATTAAGAAACTAGAGTTAAAGGACTGTTGTATTTCAGAAAGAATGCTTTCTTTAAAGGTTTCTTGTGAATTAAACATGTGACATGCAACACTTGAAATTACGGAGTTTAAAATGAATTGTGAAATTTTCTGATTTCTTCTCTAGTAATATACTTGAGCTATCCTTTCTTGAGCTATCCTTTCTTGAGCTACCCTTGCTTGAGCTATCCTTTCTTGAGCTATCCTTTCTTGGGCTACCCTTGCTTGAGGTTAAAACTGTTGTACTCCGAGTCTGTTGTACTCCGATGGACTAACTAAGTCGGTTCATTCGGAATATTTGTTTGAAAGATCTTTAAATATTTAACATACAGATATTATGGGGAACTTCTGGGGGGAAAATGATCCCCCCCCCAAAAAAAGGGGGGGGGAATGATTCTTCTGTAGATATTGTATATCCAGTTTATTCAGGCCTTGAAGATGAGACCATCTTCATAAACAAAAGTTCCGCCCGGTGCTAGTAACCATAATTATTGAACAACTACCTTGTGACTAGGCCATATCACATGAGAAGCAACACCAAATATCAAACCCTGAAAATACGGGAAAGAGTTAAACAAAGTAAATTGTAAATCAAAATCTGAGAAGATATTTTAGATTAGTGAGTTATAACTTATGAACGAGACCAGACTGAGCATACATTTAAAATAACTATCTTTATACTAGGTAGTAATCTCTGTTTGTTTGATTCATGTCCGATCAGAACTCATCAAACCCTGGACCGATTTGCATCAAATTTTGATTAGGAAACTCTATAGAACCACGGGAATAAAAGTTTCAACTTCCTAGTATAAAGAAAAGTTGTTTCCAGACATAGTCGGGTTCCCAAGCTAGTATAGAATTATAAAATGAACAGCAATTCAATCAAATGAAATAATGATTAGTAGCGTTAACTTAGTTCTATTTATTTTTCCGCCAGAACCTTTAAAATTTCAAAGATCCCGGCTAGATGCCATGTAATGAAAAAAAGTAAACCTTAGAAATAGGTCCGTAGTAGTTACTGTCCACACTGTTACTTTTATTATCTCCTTCTACCCAACAATGACCTATAAATCAGTAAAAATGTTATATCAACGATTAGTGGAATTGGCGTTAGGATCCCAATCCCTTGGATCCGCAGCATTTTATAGCTCCCAGGATCCGCAACATTTAAGCTCCCTTGAATCCGCATCATTATAACTGCCTGGATCCGCAGCATTATAGCTCCCAAGATCCGCAACAATTGAGCTCCCTGGATCCGCAACATTTTAGCGATCTTGAATCCGCATCATTATAACTGCCTGGATCTGCAACATTTAAGCTCCAAGTATCCGCAGCATTATAGCTCCTAAGATCCGCAACATTTAAGCTCCCTTGAATCCGCATTATTATAGGTGCCTGGATCTGCAACATTTGGGCTCCCAGTATCCACAGCATTATAGCTCCTAAGATCCGCAACATTTAAGCTCCCTAGAATCCGCATCATTATACGTGCATGGATCCGCAACATTTCAGCTCCCACGATCCGCAACAATTGAGCTCCCTGGATCCACAACATTTTAGCGTTTTAGATCCGCAAACTTTTAGCTCCATTGATCCTATTCAAGTGGGAAAACAACCAAAACATCAAAAAAAAAACTAATTGCTCTAAAAGCAGACAGAAAGTGTAGAACCAAATTGATGTTATTTAAACCTTCTTCTAATTTTTAAATGGTAGTCAAGTTTCTTCATAACAAATGGTTGTTAAAAGAAAAGCAAAACTGTAAAGGAAATTCATCATCATCATCATTTCTGAATCCACTATTTTACAAAAACAAAAACTATTTAGTTTAAATAAGATCACCTGGAGGTATTTTAACTTTTATTTGTCGTTTCTGATTTGTAACAATATCACCTTCCAGGCCCACCACACGTTTAATTACATAATCATAGGGCTCCTGAAACAGATTTGAAAATATTGTTGGCAAAATGAAGAATAATCTACAATGCAAGTTGAATCTTCAATATGTTGCATTCTGACAGTTAATCTTTTGGTTAATCTGCAGATTAAATTATTCTTAATTCGATGGTAACCGTACCCAGTTAGGAGTTGATTAAGGGAGGAATAACTAAAATGAAGATATTGAAAGGTGTAGTTTTTTATAAATCCTTAAATTAAAAGTGGATATCGAGATCAAGCAATCAGGATTATAAAAATCTAATACAAAAGTTCCCAGCTCAGGTAAAACTGTACCTTTGGAGAAACATAAACAACAATATCTCCTCGGTCAAATCCAAAGTTACGGGCTCTCCAGCAGGATACCCAGATCCAATCCAAATCCAACCTAGTCAATCAAATATTAAACAACAGTAATCAAGTAATTAGTTAATTACTTAATTTATCAATGCTCAGGAAAAATGTAGTGTATACTTGTGTAGACTTATTTTCATAACAATCCCCATGATATCCAGCATCATCATTGCAAAATCTGACTCCCCAGTGGGAGGCTGCGTGTTAAACAGCCCCTGGCTATCAATGCCTCCCCGTCTCAAGTTTTCATAAATATGCTTTATAAATATTCTATATGTAATGTAAGCTTGGGACAAAAATATATATTTGATTTGATTTATATCCTAGTCACACATGTATCCTTCAAACGCATCTTTTAATCAAGAATATACGAGATATCTTTTATCTTCTCTTTGAAAATTGATAAATGGTTATTTTCAATTGTGGTTTCTCTATAAAATTAAAAAGTGTAGATTTCACCTTCAGAACCAATGGAGCAAATCCCGAAAATTGGCAGTCAGAAAAAAATTGGTATTTAAATGGACAAAATCTTTAAAATTCTCATATCGCGATTAGTGGGATTCCTTTTTCTTAATGGTCAAATTCGTAATTTTGATCAACAAGAGATTAGTAAATCTCCGTGCAAGGAATCTTAAAAGGGAGTGTTCGTGGAAAGTGAAAGGGGCTTACAACGAAAAATAATCGCCTTTGATCGCTACTAATCTTACTTCTATCTGTTGCATCTATAAGGAGAAAATTGTTAAAAACTTCTTATACTGAAGAACGTAGCGTGCATATAAATTCAAAGTTGAAATATACGACTCGTATCGTAAAATAATCAATTTAATTTAAAGCAAATCATTCAGATATTACAACCTAAAGTTATCGAGTATTTTTCGATGCATTCGTATATAGTTCATGAAATTTGTTAGTTTTATATACAACTAAAATGCATTAAAAACGACTTTTTTTCGCTAGGTTTCTCTGCCACGTGCAATCATTCAAAGCATCGAGAGCAGAGTCATCGGCCAACTATTTCGGCGTTTTAAGTGCATTGTATACAAAACTGCTTGGGACAAAAATATATATTTGATTTGATTTATATCCTAGTCACACATGTATCCTTCAAACGCATCTTTTAATCAAGAATATACGAGATATCTATCATCTTCTCTTTGAAAATTGCTAAATGGTTATTTTCAATTGTGGTTTCTCTATGGATTTCTTCTTCAGAACCAAATGAGCAAATTTCTCCGAATTGAAAACTTTTCAAATAAGAAAAAATATTAATATTAATGATTACTATTTTTTTAAATAATCAGTGAGAACTTAAACTAAGCTAATCTCGAAAATTGGCAAGAAAAAATTGGTATTCAAATGGACAAAATCTGTAAAAATATTCAAATTCGTAATTTTGACCAACAAGAGATTCGTAAATCTCCGTGCAAGGAATCTTAAAAGGGAGTGTTCGTGAAAAATGAAAGGGAGTAGAGGCTTACAACGAAAATTAATCAACTTTGATCTCTACTAATCTTACTTCTATCTGTTGCATCTTTAAGGAGAAAATTATTAAAAACTTCTTATACTGAAGAACCTAGCGTTCATATAAATTCAAAAGTTGCAATATACGACTCGAATAGTAAAATAAATCAATTTGATTTCAAACAAATCATTCAGATATTACAAGCTAAAGTCATCGAGTATTCTTCGATGCATTCGTTTATAGTTCATAAATTTTTTTATACAACTAAAATGCACTTAAAATGACTTTTCCCACTAGGTTTCTCTGCCACGTGCAATCATTCAAAGCATCGAAAGCAGAAACATCTGGCGGCCAACTAATTCGGTATCGTATACAAAACAAATAAAAAATATTATGAAATATTAACTATGTACGAATGCGTCGAAAAATCATCGATGACTATAGGTTGTAATATCTGATTGATTTGTTAGAAATTAAATTGATTTTTTTACGATCCGAGTAGTATATTGCAACTTTCTGAATTTGAATGAACGCTACGTTCTTCAGTAAAAGCCGTTCTTAACAATTTTCTCCGTACAGACGCAACAGATAGAAGTAAGGTAGCGATCAAAAGAAATTACTTTTCACCGTAAGCCTATAACCCCCTTTCATTTTTCGCGAACACTCCCATTAATTTAGAAATGAAATACAGTTCAGAACTTTATTAAACCTATTCACCATTTACCTGAAAAAGATATTTTTCCAACTTGAAATTGCATTTTCACGTTCTTTGTTCTCAGCAGGAGCATTAAATTCAGGCTAAAATAATAAAAAAATAATAATTTGAAATATTTTAAAAGTCATTCTATTTTGTATAAAGCTGTAATGTATATACGTCACAGTTGAATTTGGATAAAGAAGTGCCTAGGATCCGGATCAACTCTGAACTTTTGAAAAAAAGAGAGATTATAAAAATTTCCTCATTTCTGAATGGTTCATCAAGTTTTAGAATAAAAATAAGCGAAACAAATAAAACGAAAAATTTGAAAATTATTTTTTGTTAAAAAAAATTCCGTAAATCTTAAAGAAATGACCTGAGCTGAAAACTTTAGAATGAAATATCCAGATATCCCGTCGAATAATTAATCTGGAGTTTAAATTCATGTGGAGAACAAGCAATATTTAATCTGGATATTAATTTAAGAAACTCTTTCTCTGGATATCCAACACAAAAGTTTTCAGCTCTGGATCCATTTTTTTCTGGTGCGGATCCAGGATCCAGATCCGGATCGGCATCAAAACTAATTGGATCCTAAGCTTAGAAAATCATTTTTGAACATATAATTTCAAAATATGAATATACATAGGGTTACCCACAAAGAAAGAGACTGTAAAGACGACCTGAAACTCTTTAAATCTGACGATTCCAAGGTTAGATTAAGTCTTCTTCTGCCTTGAATGTGGTCTTTTCATGAACTTTTTGGATGATTTAGCAAAGAAAAAACAAGTTTACAGTTGGAGGGAATCAAATGTAAGGAATATATTCCATACAGTCGTCTCTGAAGTTTCATCTTTTGTGGGTAACCCTGTAAACCCCAGAAAGTGTTTACCTGCATGGATTTCCCTGTAATGTATGCAGGATATCCAACAAAAGAAATCATGGTGTTGAGAACACAGAAAGAGATTACACCAGTTTTAGCAGTTCTTTTCACAACCTTGAGAATCCTAAAAATCATATTTTATTAGGGTTGTTCTGCAGCATTTGGAATCTTTAAATGGACTGTAAGTGTAATTTTAAGTGACCCTCTATGCAAAGATGGTAATGCATGATTCACAACGGTACCCTTAAAAACTTTGACGATCAAGGTTGAATTATATTTCTAAGTTAATAAATTCAAATAATAATTATTTTCAATTCTGGTTTCTCTACAGAAGTGACTTGCACATTTCTTCTACAGCAGGAAAACACGAAGGAATTATTAATGTTTAACACCTTTAAACCTAGAAACAAGAAAATATCTTCCACATTATTGATCAAATCAAGATTTTATTGGTACTGTCGTCTGTCGTAAATCTGGCATTGCCACCTTAATTTTAAGCTTACAGTCCCTTTAAAGGTAGTTTCATTTGTCAATTTACCCAGTTTAACTCAGTTTGTCCATTTAAAAGTTTCCACCTGTTTAGTTTTTATTGAAACATGTGACTAGTGATTACCTGACTGGTCTGGAGACTGAATAGGAGTCGAGAACATGTGATTAGTGATTACCTGACTGGTCTGGAAACTGAATAGGAGTCGAGAACATGTGATTAGAGATTACCTGACTGGTCTGGAGACTGAATAGGAGTCGAGAACATGTGATTAGTGATTACCTGACTGGTCTGGAGACACTGAATAGGAGTCGAGAACATGTGATTAGAGATTACCTGACTGGTCTGGAGACTGAATAGGAGTCGAGAACAGTTAAAAGTTTTGACTTTCGTGTAATCCTATCCAGCAAATAATGTTTTAGACAAGTCAGGTAGGATTTAGGACTTCCCCACATTCTCGCCATTTTGACACTATCGTCTCACAAATCTTATTTTCACAGAATAGTTTAAGTAAAATGTTTATAATCTTCTACAGTGACTAGATAGTCAAGTTTTTAAGCCACAGGGACGGTTTCTTCTTGAACAGTTGGTATTGGTCGATTGATTACCAAGTTAGGCTGTACGTGAGCAGGTATCTCTTGAGCAAGGAATCTAGAAAGATAGTATAATTATTTGTTTAAAGAAGACATTTCGAAAAATGATTTAACTCAGAATTGATTCTGGAAATACCACAACATTCCACAGAACTCACCAGCATCAAACTTTTTAAACCAAAGGTGGTTTTTGCGAAAAAGAAAAATTTTCCAACTTGAAGTTTTACTCTTTTATTTTATTACCTAGAATGATCATTATTTTATTATTATTATTATTTATTTTTGCTACACAAACACAATATTACAACTATTAATACGATTTGTAGCAGAACCAATCAAAATAAATGACATTAATGATTGGCCCTAGAATTCAGGGGAGTTAAGACACGAAGGTAGTTGGGAGAAATACTCAAAATTATTATGACTAGGTGAATGTAAACAAAGCCATGAATTGCGCCAATATGGTGTATGCATTTGTTACTTCAGAGGCTGGAACTTATGGGAGATATAAGCACTAAACTCAAACTTGATATGAACAATGGAAACTTTTGAGCTCAAGGGATTGAGAATCTAAAAATGTTTAAATTATTGAAAATTCAATTCTCGTCCGTTCGTTTTTAAATAGTGAATTCTAATTTTCGAGTTTTGTCACATATCTTTTCTTGGTTGAAAGTTTGAATGATAAACATGATAAAAGTTTGAATGATAAATATTATAAAAGTTTGAATAATAATCATGATAAAAGTTTGAATGATAAACATGATAAAAGTTTGAATGATAAACATGATAAGTTTGAATGAGAAACATGATAATAGTTTGAATGATAAACATGACAAAAGTTTGAATGATAAACAAAATAAAAGTTTGAATGATAAACATGATAAAAGTTTAAATGATAAACATGATAAAAGTTTGAACGATAAACATGATAAAAATTGAACGATAAACATGATAAAAGTTTGAATGATAAACATGATAAAAGTTTGAATGATAAACATGATAAAAGTTTGAATAATAATCATGATAAAAGTTTGAATGATCAACATGATAAAACTTGGAATGATAAGCATGATAAAATACGGATAAAAACGAATAAAATATTTCAAAAGAAAAAATTAGGAAGAAGTTTTGATAAAATGTTTCAAGGAAGAGAAACGATTATGCGCTGACCTCCAGTTTGTGATTTACCTAAAGAAAAAATAACTGTCGGAGGTTGCACCAATGCAAATAGCAGCTTTCGCTATTCCCTAAATATTAGAAGATGGTATTAAAGAAAAGGTTTAAAAATCTTTTAAAGGGACTGTTTTTGAAATTTCAAGTGCATGCCAGATTCACAGTGGTACCCTTAAAAACCTTTATCTGATTAATATTGTGGAAGATATTGTCGTTTTTATTCCAACATGAAAATTGTTTAATTCTGACAATTTCTTCCTCTGTCTTTGTAGCAAAAATCCACAAGTCACTTTTAGAAAAGAAACCACTGTTGAAAATGATCAATTCTTAGTTTTTTAAAACAAGTTTTCTTTCACAAAAGATAATATAAAATAGTGCAAAATTATTTCAATAGAATTTCATAATTCTCTTCATTTAATATTTACCCTTTGTAAAAATACTTTAGGATTCTCTGGGCCCCAGACCCCCCCATGCCTGCGGATAAAGCACATACTGCAATTAAATAGGTAGGTGGTAAGGTATCCAATATTTGCGTTGACCAGCGGGGAGAGGAGAGGGATCAAGTTAAAAACATGGATATCTCATTCTTGATCATACACAGCTTTTAAAAGTATCGCTGTAAAATCGGTAATTCTACTGTTTAAAGGGACAGTTACTTGAAATTATGTAATTACTGTAATTTTGTAATTTTGTAATTCTTTACATAAATTACAAAGTAATTATATTTTTTGTAAAATACCTTGATACAACTGATAGGAACAGAACCAAAGACTGAACTACCCAGATATCCAGGTCCACCGTCAGACTCAACCCAAACCTCTCCGGGTCCTAGTTTAACAGGGGCCCGGACAGTAGATCCAACTCCAAAGGGTGTAATTGTATCTCCTTCGACGGCTACAACCCTTTTCACCAACCTACATTAATCAATCAATCAATCAATCAATCAATTTGATCAGATTTACATAAAGGAATTTCAGGGTGTCCAACAAAAACCCTGTCTTGTTAATTTTTTGGTTCATACTAAGAAGAATTGAACAAAATAGATTAAATGATAAACGAAATAGTTAGTGCGTGAAATGACACATTCTTTGGAAAATTTTGATGATAAATGTGCACAGGTTTACAGAAATGATAACTTATTTTAAAAATTGGAGTGCACATTGAGCGTGGTAACAGCTCTTAAATTCTACAGATAATCTGCTAAAGAAAGTAAAAAATTTGTACATATCAATTTCTTCCTGTTCAAACTCGGGTTCGTTGAAATTTTGGCAAAAATGTTAGAAATAAATGAGTTAAACCAAAAAAACCTGTAAAATGCTCGTTTTTAAAAAAAGTACATTTTTGAAGGTTTTTAGAACTTAACCTTTGATTTTTTTTTTAAAATGAGTATTCAAAACAAAAGTTTCTAGCTTAGCTAGGGTACTTTGTTACTTATAAACAAGGAGAAATAAGGAAACTGTTAGCCCAGCTCAGCTGGAAAAATATGGGTTTCTGGATAGTTTACCATAGTTTTAAAAGAAGCCTCCCAGGGCATAATAACTATTTAAAAAAAAACTACTTTTTTGAAGAAATGTTTTTGGGGAAAATACTTTAAGAGCCCTCTTCAACAAATAGGGTTTTAGATAATTGCCATAGAAAAGAATATTTAAATAGGATTGTATTTATTTAAATGATAACAGTATCAAAGCAAATCAATTCAAATGGAAAGGTATAGGTTTTTTTAAATAGATTTCTAAATTAAAAGTTTCCACAAAGGATATCGGGATCAAACAAAAGTTCCCAGCTCAGCTGAAGTGATATGTTACTTCATATCTCTTATAAACCCAAGAGAAAATAAATAAAATGTCACCCCGGTCAAGCTGAGCTGGAAGTATATGGGTTTCTGGATATATTTACCATAGATTTAAAAAAACATAAAAATACCTGTCATTGTCTCTGTTGGGCCGGTCCAATAGTACAATATCACCTCTCTCCAACTTCTGGTGATATCAAACAATCTTTTAAAATCATTATTCCAACACATTTCAAGTTTTAAATCATTTTAGATCTTATTTATGTTAAATAAACAGCTGAAAACTTCAGAATTGTGGATATCGAGATTAGTGTTTGATCTCATCTTTCTGTTAATCTTAGTTTAATATTAAGTTTGTATCACGTATTTAGTGTCTAAAATTCAACCAATCAGAGTGGGTATGCAGAATCCCGAACAACCAATCAGAAGCCAGAAATGTTTTAAAATTTCAATAAAAGAACTTATTTTTTTTGTCAGAATTTGGTCGAGATACACAAAAACAGGGAAAAGTTTACAGCTCAGGGCAAATTGGTATATTTGTACTTTTTGTTTTGTTTGTTTTGTTTGTTTTGTTTGTTGTATTTGTTGTATTCATTGTATTTGTTTTAATTGTTTTAATTGTCTTAATTGTTTTATTTGTTTCATTTTTTTTTATTTTTTTTTTTGTTTTGTTTTTTAGATCTTTTTAATTGTTGAATTTTTTTATATTTTTTTAATTTTTTTATTTGTTTTCCTGAAGATTTCTTGAAATAAAAACTAGCTCATTCGAAATATCCAACCTAAACAAATAATTTTGAGTGAAAGAATAATTAATTTTTAAAGATGCTGTAAACGTAGTTTCTCAAAAACAAGTTACGACCCGATCTTTTCGTAATTATTAAGAAAAGGTCAATTTACTTTGAAATATGGGGTTTCGAAGCCTTCTGTTGAAATCCCCAAGTAGATATCTAGCAAAAAGATTATCAAGAACAATAATGGCAACGTAGAATTTGCACACTCTCAGTACAGCTGGATTCTGACGTCATAAGTGTCAACAGTTGTATGTGTCTGACAAAATTATTAATAATAGTGATATTAAGGTGCTGATCTTACAGTGAAATAAGTATAGTTTTGTGTTCTTTATTTTCTGTTTTCACATTTTTTTATTTTATCTTGGAAAACATGTCAACTAATGAGAGAAAATGTTGTCTTCCTTGTTATATTTGACACTTGTGACGTCATGCATAATTTGTCAATTTCTCTGTTACCACCAACTATACTTGATAATCTATTTGATATCTAGAAATATTGGAAACTTTTCTAGGTGGCTACACAGTACACATATTTGTCAATTCATGTTCAACACAAATTAAAAAAATACTTTTTTTTCGTAGACGCCCATATACTAATCGTTTTAAATTATTAACAGATACAAACTACAAAGTAATCAAGAATTAAAAGCGTGTCTACGAATGAAATAAGGATATCTCAATCATCCTTGTGAATTGTACATGCCACTCTTCAAATGAAAGATCACTTGAAATTACGTCTACAGTCCCTTTCAGGTTAAAAAGACAATCCCATTCCATCCCGTCCCGTCCCATCCCATCCCATCCCATCCCATCCCATCCCATCCCATCCCATCCCATCCCATCCCATCCAATCCCATCCTATCCCAATTTCTAACCAATCCACCCACCTGCCAGTACGAATACCACTATAATAATTCTTTAATTGTGGATTAAGGGTTGGTGACATAGAAGGTCCATTGACAGTTCTTAAACAACCAACCTTCTAAACAAACAATCATATATTTTCCGAATTCAGCGAAATAATTTTTTTAACCATGCCGAACAATTTAAGCTTATAATTTGTTATTAGATATTTATTCATTATTTTTTACATTTTCAGTTTATTTAAAGAAATATTTTTAAATTACCCAACCTGATCAAAATTATAGTATAGTCCAGCTCCAATACCGAACTTTATTGAACCGATGGCCAAAGGCTTGAGTAGCTAAAATAAGAAAATAAGGTTTCAAACATCGTCAGATAGATTGTGAATAAAGCTGACGTGACCCGGAAAAAATGTCAAAATCTATCATTTTTGTAATGCACAAATTTAATGAGGGAAATCCGCGAAAATTTGAGAACGATTAAAAATGGCGACTTTCAGAGCTCAAAGCCTAGTTTAACAAATAGTTTCAGATCGGCTAATCTAAATAATTTAAAGCATCCTGAGCTGAAAACTTTAGAATGAGATATCCTTAATCCCGATTACTTAATCTTAGTATCCAATGAACACACTTTTGATTTTCTTCTTGAACCGTTCTTTCTTGGATATAGAAGAGAAAAAATCAAAAACCGGTTTTTAAATTAGAGATTCCTCCCGTTTTTGTATATAATCTTAAATGGCGCGCAAAATTTTAAATTTATTGGCTTCATTTTCGCGACTCTTATTGGTTGAATTTATACACTTTTCAGGATACAAATATAAGATTAGGTGAGTCTCTATAACAGGAAAAAGAGAGGATCAGGCATTTATCTCGATATCCACCATTTTAAAGTTTTCAGCTCAGGTTCTGGAGGCCAAAATATTTTAATGAATATAAATGTCACCTTTCCGTAAAGATAGTTTGCTCCTCTCTGTTGATAAACAAATAAGATTTCTACATCAAAAAGATAGAAAAACAAATCACTGTCGTCTTCAAGGTTCACCATTGTGATTGATCATTTTTAACTGTGGTTAGAACTGTAAAATGGGACTTGCGGAATGCGGATATATGCTACAGAAACTATGGTGGAATTTGTCAAAACCAAATAACTCTAATAATCAGACATTTTGAATTATAACGACAATCCTTTTTTGGCCAGGTAGAAATCTTATTTCCTTAGCTATAGAAGACATTGCATTCTATCTGAAAATAAGATGTTTCATTGACGAATCAAACAAATAATCAACCATATCTTTTATCAGACTAATGGCAACACCAAACTTTTAGAAACTTTTGGCAAACGTTGACTTAGATATACAAAAAATAAAAACGTTCACTTTAAAATTTTTGCGGTGTCAGCGTGATTTCAACGTTGGTGGGTTTTCAGGATTTAATTTGACCCCAGCATACCCTGGATTCTTTTCTGATTGTAAATTAAATTGTTTCCCAAGGGGTTGGAAAAAAGGAGAGTTCCAAAAGACAGAAAAAGATGATAAAAATATTGGAATTTATAATACGAGTTTGGAACTTCTCCTTTTATAAAATACTCCAGGTTTAACAATATCGGAATAAATACAACATCCATCACTGGTTTTAGTTCTTCTCAGTTTCAGTTTGCGTTTCTTGGGGGTCATCCTCGATTATCTCTCTGAAAATAAAACTTAAATCAATGAAATAAAAACTACTTTTAAAAAAGTTGAATTAGAGAAAAAAAAATCATAATTTTCGCCATTATTCATAACATGATTTGTGGAAAATACTAATTTAGAACAAAAAATCAACATTGACATCATTAATCAGGCCTCATCATAATAAATAAACCAAATTAAATCAATTAAAATGGAAAATAAAGTTGCAGATATTTATTGCTAGAAACGCAGTCACATCTGTACTTTTGTGCAGTGCACTGTAATAAGTCTACGTTTCTGACATTCTGTTTTGAGCAATACAAAATATACAGAGATTCTCTAAAAGACACCGTGGTTGATGACAGGGTTCAATTTAAAACCAATTTATGCTATGTATATTAAAAAGTTTCTAATCTAATGGTGTACACAAAACGCAAAAAGATGTATAAACAAATTATAAATTGGGATTTCCAAGACTGAGTAAGTAAATATATTTTACAATAAACATAAGGTTTTCGTTTGCACCAGATTGAACATTTTCAGCAGAAATTTTCTTAATCTTCAAAAAAAAACAAAAATCGATTTAAAAACTCAAAAACATCTAAAACATATTCGAGCATTTCCAAAGCATTACATATATCCATAAAGTTGTAATCTCTGTTTGTCTGTTTTTTGTCCGATCATAACTCAGGAACCCCTGGACCGATTTGCCTCAAATTTTGATCGGGGAACTCGGGAGACCCACGGGAATGTTCTTAGCTTGGCTTTGAGATTCTAAGTTGAGTGGGTCGACTTGACTAAAGAAAATGTAGTTCCCCGGTAAACTCGTTCAAGTGCGGGTAAACGGCATGAGTAATCTTTTGTAACCTGGGCAGCGCTGGGTTCCCAAGCTAGTTTGCAATAAACATGAAAAATGTTTCTTGTCCCGCTAGATCGAGATATTTTATTGATAATTTGAATGTCTACATTTGGATATGAGTTAAAATGAATTACCTAATACTAGAGACTAGTCCATCTTTGTCTTCAATCACAACCTTCTTTCCTCCCAAAGCGTAGGTCAATCCTGAATAATAAAGTGTAATTAATGGCGAACCTAAACTAGATGCTTGATGAACAACAAACTAGCAACAACAAAGTTTTCAGGAAATACAAAGACGACTTTGTAACCTCGTAACGCTTCAAGTTTTCATTAACAGCTAAATTGATATAAAAATAAGATGTGTTTAACCCTATGTAGGTAGGCTGACGTCTACTTTACCCAAAATAGTCTGGAAAAGGGGGGGGGGGGGGAGTCAGGGACCCCATTCTCTCTTTTTACATTGTTGGAAATCCCTTGGGCTCTACTTTGATAATCAGCCAAATACTTTTGCAAATTAGCAAAATTTCAAATATTTATTGCAGAATTAAGGGTTTAAGCAAAAATGTGCAAAAACAACGATTTTTAACAAAAACTCTTCGTTATTTTCAAATTAACAATAGAAATTTTTTTAGCTAATTATTTTATTTATTTCGAGAAAAAAATACCTAAAATAGTTCCTGGAGTGTTGCTCTCTTGTTCTGCATACGCCTTTGATGAATAGAATTTTAATTAAAATTACAATTAAAATAGAGAATTTAAATTTTCTTTGGAAAAAATGCACGATACATAAAATTCACATTCGAACTGCTATCGCTACAAATCCGGTGAAAATGAAAAATACAGTGTAACCCTTAATGGATGAGACTTTAGAGACTAAGGACTAAGATGCTGTCTGTTTCTTTTAGTCATTATTTCCGTAATTTTTTTTCTTTCTTTGTCTAATCAATAAAAAAGCCACAAGAAGACTATATTCAAGGCAAAATATTTAATTCGTCATTTGTCAACCTAAACGAGTTTCAGGTCGTCTTCCAGTTTCATAATTTGTAGGTAATACTGTACTTGTCCGTAAAAAAAGGTTTAACACTTGGGGTCCGTCCCAGAGAACGATTTTTGAACCCCCCCCCCCTCCTATCAATTTTGTACATGACCACTTATTTTTCATTTTTCAGCAAAAATATTATAATTTGTTTTTTATTTTTTAGGTTANGGGGGGGGGGGGGGAGGGCCGGGTCCAAAAATCGTTCTCTAGGAAATTACCAACACTTGTTAGCTGTTAGTTAGTTTTTAACATTTCTTGAATAAATTAAAAAATCTAGATGACCAAATCTGCACGACCAAATTTGAGCCATGTTTAAAACACTTCTAAGTTACGAATTACCAATCAAGTTTCAAAAGGTAACCGATGAAAGCTGCCCCTATCAGAGCTGGGAACTTTAATGTTGGATAGGTATAATCCCGATCGTGTGATCATTCTGGGCACTTTTAATTTGAGGATCTATAAAAACCTTTATCTTAATTTCAGTTAATCCTCCCCTATCAAAGCTCCCTTCAAGCAATGACTTGGTACAATTACCATGCGGGATATCGAATAGAGATTAAATTAATCTGCAGATTAACAATACATGAGTTCCCAGCTCAACTTTGATAAAACAAGATGTTGATTTGAAAATAAAAAAATTTAAAAAACTTGAAATATTATTTCCGCCATTTAAAGGAAGTGACTTAATAACGGCTTGAATTTATACGAGTTTTATTCTCTTGGATATAATGCGGTTTTTAAAAACATGTTCTCCTTATATACGCAGCAGCAGAAGTAAAATTAGTAGCGATCAAAACCGAATTCAATTCGGGATTAACCTCTTTAATTTTTTGCGTACACTCCCTTTAAAAATTTACCTGCATTAAAGCTCTTTGTTTCTCATCTAATTTTTTAGGCGGAACAATCTTAATTGTTATATAATGATCTCCTTGACCGTACCCAGATACTCGCTTTAATCCTTTCCCGGTCATCTTCATCCTAACAATTAAAGTGACTGTTTTGTGTAATTTTAAGTGACCCTCCATGAAAAGATGGCCATGGCCAAGAATGTAATGCAAGGAAAGTTAATTGCAGTTGCGTATACTCTGCGTACATATTGAACCAGTTCTCTCTGTGTTTAAGAACTTAATCCGCTGTGGATATCGAGTTGCAGATTATCGCTAATTGGAGGAAAAGTTTCAAACTCTTAAGTTAAAAGAAATAAATGTCGCCTTACTTTGTATGTGATGATGTTCCGGGTGGAATCTGTAGATTAAGATCCTCGTGTATTCCCTGCACTCTTATAGCACCTCCCAACACAGCCTAAGTAGCGAAAGTTTACGTACAATGTCCAATACAAAATTAATAAAAAAAAGCGTTAATGAAATCTTTAAAACTTTTAAACTATTCAATGAAATATTTTTCAATGAAATCCCATAAAACTGTGGAATATGAAATCAACATATAAGCAATCTTATTTTCATTTGATATAACAACAACAACATCAACAAAAAAACAGCAACAACAACATAATCATCAACAACAACAACATCATCAGCAACAAAAACAGCAACAACATCATCAACAACAACAACAACAACAACAACCACAACAACAACAACAACAACAACATCATCATCATCATCAACAAAAACCACAACAACAACATCATAAACATCATCAACAACAACAACAACAACAACATCATAAACATCATCAACAACAACAACAACAACAACATCAACAACAACAACAATGATAGTACCTGTGCAATAGAAATATTAGCTTCAGTATAAACATCTGCTCCTTTCCGTGTAAAATAATCACTCTTCTCAACTCTAAATATAACAGAAAACTTCAGATTAAGGGACAGTGCTTGTATTTTCAAGTGACCCTCGGATTCGATTCAAAACGATACCCAAGGAACATATATCTGATCAACTATATTAAAAATATTTTTGGTTTTATCTAGCTGTTTTTATCTAGTTGGTTTTATCTAGCTGGTTTTATCTAGCTGGTTTTATCTAGCTGGTTTTATCTAGCTAGTTTTATCTAGCTGGTTTTATCCAGCTGGGTTTATTTAGCTGGTTTTATCTAGCTGGTTTTTATCTAGCTGGTTTTATCTAGCTGGTTTTATCTAGCTTTATCTAGCTAGTTTTATCTAGCTGGTTTTATCCAGCTGGGTTTATTTAGCTGGTTTTATCTAGCTGGTTTTATCTAGCTGGTTTTATCTAGCTGGTTTCATCCAGCTGGTTTTATCTAGCTGGTTTCATCCAGCTGGTTTTATCTAGCTGGTTTTATCTAGCTGGTTTTATCTAGATGGTTTTATCTAGCTGGTTTTTATCTAGCTGGTTTTATCTAGCTGGTTTTTCTCTTGCTGGTTTAATCTAGCTGGTTTTATCTAGCTGATTTTATCTAACTGTTTTTTATCTAGCTGGTTTTTATCTAGCTGGTTTTATCTAGGTGGTCTTATCTAGCTGGTTTTTATCTAGCTGGTTTTATCTAGCTGGTTTTATCTAGGTGGTTTTATCTAGCTGGTTTTTATCTAGCTGGTTTTATCTAGCTGGTTTTATCTAACTAGTTTTTATCTAGCTGGTTTTTAATGGGAACCGTTGTGAATCGGACATACCCTTTAAAAGTACGTTTAATAGAAAGATAGTTAATATATGGTTTCCTACAGCGAACATACGTAAGTCTCTTTAGTAGGGAAACAATTTAAAAAAAAATTATAACATTGGAATTCAATTTATACTGGATCAGACATAGCTTTAAAGGGTACAGATGTGATCGGGCATTGCCCTCTTTGCATGGAGGGCCACTTGAAATTACGCTTACTGTCCCTTTAAGATGCACATAAACAATGTTTGATAGTTAACAAAATATAAAAATTGTCGAGTTATAATTTCTTAATCGTTTTGATTAGTTTTTTAAAAACTTAATTAATTTTCTCAGATTTTCGGTTCTGTTTACTGTGCAACATTTTGCAGTGTAAGAAAAGAAAATATTTATAAATAATAATAAACAATTTTTAAAACATTTGCCCTTCTATAACCAAAAATGAACCAAAAACGAACCAAGAGCGAATAAAAAACGAACCAAAACCGAACCAAAACCGAATCAAAAACCAACCAAAAACCAACCAAAAACCAACCAAAAACGAACCAAAAACAAACCAAAAACGAACCAAAACCGAACCAAAACCGAACCAAAACCGAACCAAAACCGAATCAAAAACGAACCAAAAACCAACCAAAAACCAACCAAAAACGAACCAAAAGCAAACCAAAAACAAACCAAAAACGAACCAAAACCGAACCAAAACCGAACCAAAAACTAACCAAAACCGAACCAAAACCGAACCAAAACCGAACCAAAAACGAACCAAAAACGAACCAAAAACGAACCAAAAACGAACCAAAACCGAACCAAAACCGAACCAAAAACGAACCAAAAACGAACCAAAACCGAACCAAAACCGAACCAAAAACGAACCAAAAACGAACCAAAAACGAACCAAAAACGAACCAAAAACGAACCAAAAACGAACCTAAACGAACCAAAAACAAACCAAAAACGAACCAAAATCGAACCAAAAACAACCAAAAATGCACCAACTTAATGCATTTTCATAGTATTTTTTTTTGATGAAAAAGGGCCTCTCATTCCAAAGGTTAGAGAGGTCCTGGCTGAATTAAAACTGTAAAAATTGGCCCAACCTGTAATTTGTATTATCAAAATAGTCTAGCAAAATATATCTATCCATCTAACCTGAAGGTTATGAAGACCTCTTTCCGTCCGACCGGCATGCGGACTGTTTGACCGTCCTCAATACCAGCTGGTACAGGTACCTTGAAATGGACAGGTCATGATATATTAAACAAACTATGATTGCTGAGTTAAATACTCATACTTCATACTTAATCTGTAGTTCTGCAGTGTAGATATGATGAATTGGACACATCCTGAGATAACGATTCAAGATAAGTGGTTGAATCGTGTTTAGAACTGGCTCAAATTTATTAAATCCGGTCCCCGATGCTTTTAACCCATAGATTTTTTGGTTAAAATGTGACGTATTTATGATAGATCAGGTACTAGCTTTATTTATTGAAAGCTAGCAGGAGTGCCCGTGCCTATTATGTGGCTGTCAATAGCGCAGTTGTCAGATAAATCAGATAAATCGGATAAATTGGATAAATCGGATAAATCAGATAAATCAGATAAAAATTAGTGATAAAAAGATAACACAACTTTACCGTTATTTTCTGTCTCTGATTAGTTTGTCCCGCCCCACTGCACTCCTTACACGGATTCTTATTCCAGGTACCACGCCCACTGCATCTCCTTAATACAATAAATGTTATTCCAGGTACCACGCCCACTGCATCTCCTTAATACAATATATGTTATTCCAGGTACCACGCCCACTGCATCTCCTTAATACAATATATGTTATTCCAGGTACCACGACCACTGCATCTCCTAAATACAACATATGTTATTCCAGGTACCACGCCCACTACATCTCCTGAATACAATATATGTTAATCCAGGTACCACGCCCACTGCATCTCCTAAATAAAACATATGTTATTCAAGGTTGAAGGTACCACGCCTACAACATTTCCATTGTAAAAGAGTTATAAAAATTTCAGAAGCTGAATATCTTTGTTCACTATAAAATGTAAGGTATAAAATTGTTAAACTTATTAACTATTACAATTAAAAAATACCTGCAAGTGCTTCGCATCATAAAAGGTCCCGTAGACACAGTTTCCATCCCCGTTCCTTCATATCATCAATATCATCAGTATCATCAGTATCATCAGTATCATCAGTAGCATCAATAGCATCAATAGCATCAATAGCATCAATAGCATCAATAGCATCAATAGCATCAAAAGCATCAAAAGCATCAATGGCATCAATAGCATCAATAGCATCAATAGCATCAATATCATCAATATCATCAATATCATCGATATCATCGATATCATCGATATCATCGATATCATCGATATCTTCAATATCATCAATATCATCAATATCATCAATATCACCAATATCACCAATATCACCAATATCATCAATATCATCAATATCATCATTATCATCATTATCATCGATATCATCGATATCATCAATATCACCAATATCACCAATATCATTAATAGCATCAATATCACCAATATCATTAATAGCAACGATATCATCGATATCATCAATATCATCGGTATCATCATTATCATCAATATCATCAATATCATCAATATCATCAATATCATCAATATCATCAATATCATCAATATC